ATGACGATCTTGTCATCACCGCTTGCGTGAGATACTGGGATTGATGACTACCTAATCCTTAATGTCCTCTTTAGGCTAACACCGCAATATTCCGTAGTAATATTAATGAGCTCAGAAGACAGCAAAGAATGATTAATGCAATAACTTTGCATTATTTGAACGCGTATGCGCTTCTTACAGTCTAACCTACTCAACTGTGGACACATCCCACAAATCGCGGTTGTACATGAGAAACATTAGCACCTCAAGCGTAGAAGCATCCAAACGCTTCCGGAGGTCGGAGAACACGAGCTTTACCGACGAAAAGTACCTTTCACGCTCTCGTTCGAAGTGCGCGGTATGAACGCCACGTCGTCATACAAGGAGCGCTTCGAGACTTTGCGTTTCTTAAAGGCCTGTTGAACGAGCGACAGCTGTGCGTCGAGTGTAGCAGTCGGTAGTCGGGGTCATCCTGAGCCGGGGTTCCTCTGCACATCTTGGGATCATTGAACACGGCGAAGATGGCGATATAGTGACGTCCGCTTGAACGTACATCCGTCGAGGACGATGCCGAACGTGGAAGGTAGCTCTTCAGCAACCCTAGCCTCGACAGACTCAAATATGCGCATCAGGTACCTTTTTAGAGTGTTCTTAGCAATTGGGGTGAGCGACGCGTTCTTCCTCGTCATTTTCCGCTCGACGGAGCTCAAGGGGAGACGGTTCATTACAACCCATTCACACCACCGGAAAATGCTGCGGCTCGCCTCGTCTATGACAGGTAGACGAAGCGAGTTGCGATCCTTGGCGGCTCGACCCGCATCTTCGAGGTAGGTGGGGTGGTTGATGCGGAGGTGGGTTATCAGGTTGATGTAGCCGTGCGCACTCTTGCACGGTTTAGAGCACGTCAGGCAAACGTACTCCTCCCCCAAATTATTGGTGAACATGAGAGAGACCACGAGCTTGTTCGTGAGCGACTTGTTGCTGGAGGACATTGCGGTAGTGTAGACAGGTTGAGCAGTCGGTAGCTGGTAGAAAATTGAATTCTGAACAGCTAAATCTTGTTTTAGAGTTATGCCCATTGGCTCCCGCTCTACTGAAATCCGATTGGCCAAACTGAACCCAAATACTGACATGTGATTGGTCTAAATTGTAAACCTCTTAGTTTTGAGTACCATAGTGAGATTTAGACAAGTGGAAAGGCCCAGAAGTGACTGGCCTACAGGCACGAACGTTTGTTATTGGCCAAATTTAGCCCAAATACAAATATACGATTGAGTAGAATCCGTATGCCTTTTTTTGTATAATCGGAAGAAGTGAACCTGGAAAGGTAGTTTTGGCCAAAAGCATATTATAACAATATGTTGCTAATACACTGAAAACATATTTCCAGTAAAAATACATTATGAAATATGTAATATGCAATACATTGTTTAGCCTTATTATTTTCTGCTCTTCATTGGCTAACACATCCCTCCATTATTACTTCTACAGCAAACGCCGTGCAAAACTGTCGTTTTGAATGAAAAGTGTAGTGCAGAATGACCGGCGAATTCCTAGATATATAATAATTAAGTAGCACTAATGTCATTTAATAATGTACGAGGAAATATTGTGCATTTTGCACTATTGCTTTTCTAAGCTAGAAGATGAGTGTATTGATCGATACAATGTGAGCATTACAGTAGATACTGTAGCAAAACAAATACTATGCGGTTTAAGTTCACGAACGGGCGTCCGATACGACAACTAACCCAGCCCAACCCCTTCCCTGCTAGATGTAGAAGGAACGGGAGCCAGCTTTACCTGTTTAAGAAAAGGAAGCCCTGTCGCATCTGTAGAGCTGTAAGCTCGCACGATGTTCTCTTGAGTTGACCACGCTTGAATTTGGAGCATCGCGCGTCTTAATGAAATCGCTGTCTTGATGACGTGTCGTTCCATGCTAATAGCCCCAGAGGAAGGCCCTCTAGCACATCAGTGCTGCCAAACGACACACAGAGTGCTCGAGGGTAGCACGGATTCCTTAGACACTCGAAGAACTGTACCACCCCCATGCAGTAACTGGTACTGCAATTATTATTCGGGAGATCAATAGGTCTTACTTCTGCAGGTTCGGATATTCCCTGTCCCAGTCGCACCAACTTGGCCCGAGTCAGCATCTCCAACGCTTCCATGGTCATGACGGGCCACTAATACAATGAACGGGGCAACCATAGCCGCTGTACGATGCAGTACTTCAAAACGAACGAATTTGTTTAATGCGTTCCTAAAATCGTCCTATTCCTAAAGATGTGGCCAAACGATGGATTCCAAAAACTTAGCCTAAAACAGTGTGTAAGACGTTAATTACGCTCCACAGTTGCGCGGCGTTTGCACCGCCAACTTCGCTTCGCTCGTGGCGGGCGCGCCGATTAGATTGTAAGTTCTTGTTTCGGAACCTATTCCGGCCTCGGCGCCGTCCCCTGACAGACCTCCGCTGTGCTCCGGTTGTCATGGCGCCTCTCTAAGG